TCACCCTCCTTCAACAAAGCAAGAGATACTGAACCAACTTCTTTTAGAGAACCAGGAGATAAGGCAAGCGGATGGACTCCCGTTTTCGGCAACAGGGAGTCCGGGCAGTTTCGGTAAAGCCTGGGCAACAAAGGGCGTTTTGCATATGAGATTTTGACCAAGCCGCCTTCCTTACTCTTCCGCAGCTAAGACGAAAACTCGCAAGGTTACACAATGTAAGTATACAGAGGGAAATTCTCATTGCTGCCATCCCATCGAGTTGGGTCAAGACTCTATAGCCGAATGTTGATCACCCTGCAGGGACCTGGTTGAGGGTGAAAGATCGTCCCAGTCGCATTCTGCGCATACTGGACGCAGACCAAGGGAGAGGAAGAAGGATACAAAGTTGGAGATTGCCACCAACGGCCATTAACTCAGGAGTTCTGAAATTGGAAAAAGAAAACTACCCCCCTATGGATATCAGTCACCTGAAGGAAGTAAGGGTGAAGCTGCAACACACCGCGCAAAAGAGAACGTCAACTATTTTGTTGGGCGATGCAGCATAATTTAAAGATGAACCCCTCTTGCAAGGCTGGGTTGTACACACGAAGTTCACGCCAATAATCCAATACAAGCCAAGGGTAGGAGTCCAGCGCCAGCAAATGCGCCTGAAGAAAACCGCCTCGACCTTGGCACTGCAAGGGCCAGAAACACACCAATTGACTGGAGTAACATATCAAACTCTTAGCCGATTCTAGAAGGCGCTTACGAAAATCCCAATCTAGAAACATGCAGGTATAATGTGGCTCAAATCTCTATTGGTAACAACCACTGCAATGTGGTTGTCATCAAAAGGGATGGATGTGTCCACATTATGCCAATGTTGCAAATGAGTTTGGGAAAACACGATTTACATCTGGTTATACTGCCTATTAGTGGACGAACTATTGTAATGGTGGAATTTCCATTGGGGGAAGTTAACGGCAGGGACTTTCAAGTGGTTTGATTCTTGGATGCTCGCAGGAACCCTTCCTCCGGGACTCTGTCATTCTACAGACTGGGGGTATATTTCCCTCTGTTGCAAGGGGGTGATTGTGAAAGTTATTTGGAAGGCTAGAAATGCCGAAGTATTCAGAAACCAGGATACCCCACGGAAGCAGCAACAACAACAAGTGAAACAGGTATTAGAAGGATTATTCTTGTTGATTGGCAGATAATGAATGTCATCCGTTTCTAGAAAAACTGGGCCAAGAACGGAAGGTTGGCTTCTGTGATTAGTGAGGGCAGAATGGAGATCTGAACATGGTTGTCAGACACCCACGACTAACTGTAAGGATAAACCGGTTTTCAGATGGAAGGTAATTACCGTCAAAATTTACAGGGTAGGAGCCCTCAGGGCAAGACAAGGGATAACTATAGTGGCAGGGGCGGTATTGATACACAAGGTTTTGCATAAGGCCCTGCTACCTTTTGCTGAGCTTCAAGTTTTTTTGGGGGGGGGAACTAAGTAAAGTAGAGGGAAGGGACACTGGACCCCGTTTCCAATACAGTCGATGTTGGGTAATGGCCCCAGTACCTCCAGGTTGTTTGTGGAGGATTTTCGGCCTCCTGTTGTACTGGGTAATGGTCCCAGTACCTTGGGGTTGTTTGTGGAGGATTCCCGGTCTCTTGTTCTCTCGATGTTTAAGATAAGGGATAATTTGCAAAATACCCCCATAAGTTTAGGTATGTGCCAAAATGCCCATGAAAGATGTGGGTAGAGCGGAATGCCCCTCCGACAAAAAGAAAATTTTATGAAATACCCCTTGTGTCAGTTGGACCCCCAAAGATCGATGGTATCAGATAAAAATTACGATTCAAAACGCGCACATCTGATTGTTTTTTTGATAATTTTATTGTTACAGTTAAAAGAAAAAACTTCAAAGAAAATATTTTCAACATATTTGTCAAAATGGTCTATCAGGTACCATCCAAGTTTGCAAAATACCCAGAACTTGGCAACTTTCCTAAGGCCCAGTTGCAAAAGTCCATGCCCAAACGGAGAGGTCCAGTTTGCAAATTTGCACACTCACCTGACAGGGGCATAACAAAAAGATTTCGGCCCAAAAGGGCATTCGGCTCTACCCACATCTTTCAGGGGCATTTTGGCATATGTCTCAACTTATGGGGGTATTTCGCAAATTATCCCTTAAGATAACGATTGTTTCCAAAAAAAAAAAAAAAAAACCTAAAACCTATCCTTCATTAAACCACCAGTACCTCCGCCAGTGTTGGGAAATTACGTTGTCCTGGCCAGTACCCGAAGTTTTCGGGGGTCGGACACAGGGTCAGCGATGTCCCAAAAATCGTATTTTTCTTTTGCCCGTGCACGAAAGAAAAAAAAAA